CTTCTACCAGGTACCCCAGGAGTTTCATCTGTCCAGAACATTTTCACATTAATTTACACTTTTTGAGATTTTCACACTAAATTCAATATCTAAATTCAAACTACAACTCCAAATGTAACTGTGCTTCAGGGTCTGAGGCTACTATTTCCTAAGGAAGCTTGTGTTTCTTCTGACTGGCATCTGTGGAAAGAAACCCTCTTTTCACCAATGAGCTATTTTTTCCCCCTTTTATTTAAAAGGATGGCAACTTCCAGGGTCCTAACTATACCAAAGGATCTTAAGTTTCAGCTCCTGTGTCTAAGACCCAAGGCCCAAGACAGAGACAATCTGGGGCTTTGGGCTTATATCTTTCTTGCTATCCCCTAGAGTTGTCACACCCTCCAGAAACTTTACATAGAGGCTTTAAGCTCTCTCTGATGCTCATGCATTTAGTAAGACCTTTTCTATCTTTTGAATATATAGTCTAGGCATTTAATGTTTTTGTTGCTATATTTCATCCATTATTTTTATGTGTATTCAGTGCTGAAGATGGGAGGATTCATGTTAATTAGCTCAGTCCACCACGTTACAGAATCCAAAATGTATAAATTACATTGATAAATATAGTTATTGATTTTTAAATCTCACACATAACATGAATTTTATACTCAAATAATTATGGAACTAGGTTCTTCTCAGGGATTCTACTATGAGAAATTAGAAAAATATTGTCTTAATTAAGTAATCTTTTTATGAAATTCGTAAAATTAATAATTTTAGTCAGGTGCAGTAACTGTAATGCCAGAGAACTGGGAGACTGAAGAAGGAGAATGAAAATTCAAGGACAGCCTGGCCAATATAGTGAGACCCCTCTCAAAATTATAATAATTTAAAATCATATTTGGTATGAATTTTAAAGACTGTATTTTGAAACTATCCTTCACAGTTTAAACTTTTTTTAAACTTTTTGTTGATTCTGTTAGAAAACTTTTTTTTAAATTATATCTCAATTCTTGTTTTAATAAGTAAAACTGCCTTCAGGTTCTACTATATCCATTATACGTAGCACTAAAAAGTATAATTGGCCCTCTGTATTTATGGATTCTTCATCTGTGGAGTCAACCACCATGGATAAAAAATAATTGAAAAAACTGCACCTGTACAGATCTTTTCCTTGTAGCTACTTTCTAAACAATATAGTATTATAACTATTTATATGGTATTAAGTACTATAAGGAATTTAGAGATGATTTAAAATATAAGGGAGGATATGTGTTGGTTATATACACATACTATGGTATTTTATATAAGGACTTGAGCATGGATGGACTTTGGTATCCTGAGGGGAAGGGAGGTACTGGAACCAATTCTGAAATGACACCAAGGGACAACTACATAATTAAGCTCTTAACTAATCCAAAGAGTAGGGTCTACACCAGTGATTTTAATGAAGTTTCTGAACTGGTAGAATAAGTACCATCTTCATATTATCAGAAATGTAGATTCAGTCCCAACCAGACCTTTTGATTTAAAAATTAAGAGTTGCAGGCTATTTATGCATAAAAAACAAGCCTGCCACATATTCTGTTAAATTTAACTCTATAGAACACTGGATCTCAAACTGCTTTCCATAACACTTATTGTCAATGCATTTCAATAATTCAAAGCTCCTAAGATGAAGTCAGTGAGGTGCTTCCTTAAATTTTGTACCCTTGTCCTGGCCCTGCAATTAGTATTTAAATGTCTTCATTTAAGTGTCACCTACTTTCCTTGCCCCTTTAATAAATATAAATGGAAATGCCTTAAAGATGTATTTAAGAAATAATTAAAGAAAAAACAAATATGAGTAATTCTCAAATCACAGAATTGGACACAGGATCATTAGTGCTTTGATAATATGATATATTTTTTCTTATTCCAAGTAATGTATCACACAATGAAAACTGTTATAAAAGTAAAATATTAGTTCAGAAGCATTTTGGGGAATTTATCTGATATACACCATTCATAAAAAATGAATATTGTGGAGCATAATAATTATATGGAATAGTGGGTTTCGTTGTAGTATATCTGTACATACACATATTTTGATCAATTTAATTCCCCAATACCTTCCTTTCTCCCTCCCCTTCATCCCCTTCTTACCATACTAGTCTCCCTTCTATTTCCATGATCTCTCTTTTTCCTTCTCTTCTCTCTAGCTTCCACATATGGGGAAAAAATGACCCTTAACTTTGTGAATCTGGCATATTTTGCTCAAGCATCTAAAAATGCAAGAATTGGAATGATTTTCCAACTATGATCTATGGGCTCCTGAATGTTCTCAGGTTCTGATCCTTATCTCTACTTCAACTACAATGGTTCCACAGACTTTTATTTAACCATAATATTTTTCATAAAACAGTCCACTTACTCTATGACCAGTGTGATTCTGCAATCTATACAATCCAAAAAATGAGAAATTATACCCCAATGATTCAAATGTATAAATTGCCAAGATAATTGTAATGTCATGTGTAGCTAATAAAAAAAATAAAATAAAAAAAAACAGTCCACTTAAAGACATAGTTGGAACACTGTTGGAACAAAGTTTTAACCTTACAAAGACAAAAAAGCTATTTTTAAAAATTTCAATCTTATATCAAAAATCTGCAGAGAATATATAAAAATATTATTAACAGCACTGAATAAAAATGACATTGGCCTGAAAAAATATCAGAATTTACTTCTATTGTAATATAAAAATTGACAGACCATGAATAACAGTAAGGGCTCTGAAATTTTTCCTAGCTACAGAAACTTTAAATATAATTTTATAAAAAGTCCATACATTTTTAAAACAAAAGCAGAGCTAATCTGGTTAAAAAGAAAGAATGGGACAGCATTTTTCTCCCTATAAGTCTTCCCTAGCTTCCTCCCCAAAATGTCATTTTTCCCAGATTGCTTCTTCCTTTACACAGAACAATCCTTAATAACTACTGAAGAAAACACTATACAAAGGTAAAGTCAAAAAAGTAATAATGAGCCAGGTGCAGTGGCACACACCATTAATCCCAGCAGCTCGGGAGGCTGAGGCAAGAAGATTGCGGTTTCAAAGCCAGCCTCAGCAATAGCGAGGCACTAAGGAACTTAGTGAGACCCTGCCTCTAAATAAAATACAAAACAGGGCTGGGGTTGTGGCTCAGTAGTTGAGTGTCCCTGAATTCAATACCCAGTACACCCCCCTCCAAAAAAATAATAAAGATCACTTTATAAGGATTTAAGAGAGTACCTGTTTTTACATATTTACCACGAAGGAAGTTATCACAATCAAGATCATATTTGTTTTTCAAATAAAGTAAAATTTAAAAGCATATAATATTTACAAACTAGCTGCTTTTTTTTTTTACAAGAAATCATGAGTTGCCATAATTGAGAAAAGCAGAAAATGTTTTTATCCTAAAAACTCCATTCCTACTTTTAAGTACAAAATGACTTAGTATTCTAATGTTACTGACAAACTTCCACTGTCCTGTAGGGGATATCAATAAGTTTTCAAAGAAAGATAACTGGCATGGCTAACCATATACTTGTTTACTTCAAAAACCTACAAAAACAATAAAATATTCTAGAATGGGCAAAACTTAGGTGATCTATATCAGAGATAACATAATTACATAAACTATTTTCCCAAGAACTCACTAGTTAAAGGCATATGATTTTCTTCATTGAGTTTTATTTTTAAATAGTTACTTGTGCACACATTTTTGTGTTTAATATTCTTCCTAAAATACATAAGCAAGATCTGTTCAAACAACAAATTAACATGTCAGAGAAAAGGTTCATTTCATTATTCATAACCTAAAGTATGAGACAGCTTAAAATATAACATTTTACGTGAGTTACTTCAATCTAAATTTCAATTTATTAATTGAATATAGTTACTTCAATTCTATACTACTGAAATTAGCAACCAAACCAAAAGTAACATCTTTGTTTTCTTCCTATATTCAAGAAAACCAGGAAAAAAAAATACAATTAATCTAAGAAATTCAACTTGCAGCATTTTAAGGGTTCCAACAATTTTATTAGGAAAAATATTCTTTAGGAGTTGTACTGAGACTTGATAGTATCATTTGAAAGTCAACAGAATACAGAACATTTAATTTTTGTAATTGTTCGTGTATCCAAGGGGCCTTTTTGATTTTAATTATAAAGCAAATAAAGCATATATAAACACATACACTATCCCATATAGTTTTGCCATTTTATATTAAAATTTGTATACGAGATGTCACTTTACTTGGTTTTTCTAAGGAAGATTCTCATTCACACTGTGAAAGAAACCTATACTTTGCTATATCTGGCCATTCACTGCAGAACTTAATGAAAAAGTAAAACAAGAGTAGCTGAATAATGCTGGGTCAAAAAGAAATTTCACCTATATCACAGGAAAGAAAATCTTGAACACAATTTTAATATACCAAATTTTTAAAGTTTGAATTTGAGAATAAAATATTCAATAAACATAAAAGTTTACCATTTTATACATTCATTTTATGCTTAAAGCATTTTATTTATGGTCTCCAAAGACTTACGTTAAATAAAGGACAAAAATTCCTGAGTTATTTCAACTTTTCCTTTAAAGAACAAGAAATCAGTCTACATTGAAGATTTCCTTTAGTTTTTCACTTCACTAAATTAGGTACACAAAAATTTACAAAAGCAATTTTGACATTTTTTGCATAAGTATTTTCAATAAAGATGAATATTTGATAGTTTAACTGATAGCCCATATAATTTTAAAATTTAGAATAAGAAAATATTAATTCCCAAGACACTTAAATCTATGTGTGTCCAACATACTGTTTTTCTTCTAACTGCAAAATAACACAGAATAATCATCATACAAGAAAAAAACAACAATTTGAAGATAATATTACACTTAGTATATACTTTTTGAAGTTACATGACACAGTAGTTTAAAACACACAACAAAATAGAACTGTAAAATGTCAAAAATAAAAGGAAATTGCACTTACATCCACAGCTCTCTTAATAAAAGGTATCTGTGTGCCACTGTCCAGATCTTCATTTATAATAAGCCTTCTAGCCCACTGACCTGCCCTGACAACACCACTACCATGAATTAAAACCATCAGTTTCTGTGGATTTGTCAAAGCATCATCACTCATAAAGATAAAACTCTTTGGTTCACTTTCAGTGGCATCTACCTGTAATTAAAAAAAATTAAATAATAAATTTAAATGCTTTCTGATCAGGCATACAAACAGATGAGAAAACAACTAATGATTTTTATAAATTACTGAATGATTATTATAGAATTCTAGTAACAAAAAACCTTTAAAATAAAATTAAAATATTCATTAGAAAGTAGCAATTACATATCAGATGGATCAGCAAAATGTGATAATAATTTAAACATAAAAAAGAGCAGAGAAAAATATGCCTCCCTATCATCATAAATAAGAAAAAAGTATTTGAGTGCTTCCTATGGCCCAGATACAATGCAACTTAAGAAAAATTCTCATTCAATCATAATCCTATTAAAATGGTACTAATATTCATTAATAGACGAGTATTGTAACCTAGTTTAAGTAAGTTGCCCAAGGTCAATAAATATAATTTAAGTATACTACACCTGTAACAGAAAACAAAAAACAGAAAACCTATAATTGCAGTATACTGCACTTTTATAACAGAAAAATGAAAACCCTAATCAGAAGATAATACCAACTGAAAAACCACATACCAGCCAGGAATACTATAAACTTTTAAACAGGAAGCTATTTGAAAATTCAAACACATACGACTATATATAAATGTATTTTAAAGTTTCATGCAGACTGTGAACACAGCACTGTATATACTTTACAAGCAACATTCTTTGTGTATTCTAATAATCTTTCTGTACTAATTACATATGGGATGAAGAGTGAGCATTTTTATCCATATTGATTATGCTTAATATCTAGGTCTTTAGATAATGTATGATTTAAATTTCAAAGTCTTAAAAAGACTTTAAAGGAAGGGATACCTTTCTGACCTTTCATTCCAAATGCCATAGGACACACTGAGTGGTACTCCATACCAGCAGTGGCCAGTAATTGGGAATGGAAGCCTTTGTGCAGCCAGGTGAGAGCCAGAAGCTGAAGAGTTCCGATAGCTAGGAACATACAGAACCCCACGTAGAGAAGATCAATCCACACACAGAGTAATGCTCTTCACTTTGTCAATAGTATATGTTCACACCATTATGAAAATAAGAAATACACAAAAACGACATATGGAAAAATGTTCCTAATCACTATGCATGGAGATAGAACAATCAATTTTCTCTACTTCTAAAATAAGGTTGGTCTCAGTATAAGATGACCAACTTTTTATGTAAAAAGAGCACAATGGCAATGAATGAGTTCAGGAAGAATAGAATAGCCACAGGGCTTAAGAAAAACCATCATCATCTCAGTTAAACCTTCCCTGTCTACTCATTTAAAATTTCAAACACTTCCCTAATAATTACCTAGTCCCTATATCTGTTTTATTTTCCTCTACAGCACATGCCACAATCTAACCTACTGTATACTTTCTACAGCTGTTTGTATATTTATACCATCTGTTCTCTCCAATAGAATGGAAATTCAATAAAGCACAAAATTCCCTACTTTGTATTCAGCTACATGCTTGTGTCCAGAACAGAGCCTGACATGCTATAAGTACTTAGAAAATCAATAAATGAACAAAGTTTTGAAATAAGGAATCTTATCAAGCATCATCAGTAACTTCCTTTCAATAACAGACACTTAACTAATGCAGCCTCTTTAAATCATTGCTTGGTTCAGAGAGCAAATATTGAAGATTAATAATGTACTATTAAGACATTTAAAAGAGCTATACAATATCAAGAATTAAATTACATATGGAACTATAAGTTTGTTATTAGTAAATAAGAATAGAGATAGCGAGGTATGAAGTGAAATAATCACATTAACTTAGCCTATATGTTGTGGCCAAAGTAAATAAATTAGGATGATGACAAAAAATATGACTGGAACCACACAGGAAGAGAAGTGGATGAGAAACAGGAAAAAAAAAACTTAAAAAAATTCCCTTTAATCTGGGATTTTTACAAGAAAACAGAAGAATCACTCGGTTAAAATTAGGAAACAAAAAGAATAAGATGATAACAGAAGAAAAAACTAAAAGACAAAGCTAACACTGTACAATAACAAATAGGTCAAAGTATTTTCAAAACAATATGGATTCTGGAATGTGCATGGAAATGGCCATCTATCTTAACAAGAAAATCCACAGCTACAGAATTTCTAGTAGATGCTGATAACTATCTCTATTTCTATTCAACTTAAGTCCCCTGTTCACAAGGGAAACAATTAATTTTTTAAGCAGTGGAATGTTGCTACTTTGAAATCTGAACAATGACTTTAAAACTGTAAGAGGACTTATCTCAAAAGATAAAAATGTTTTTTATAATGCTACTCAAGAATTAAGGGACTGCAAATTAAGGTAAGCCATGAATAAATGAATAAAGTATTTTGTCAGCTTTTTATATTTAAAAAAAATTATCTCTGGCTCAGGAGGCTGAGGCAGGAGGATCTTGGGTTCAAAGTGTGCCTTAGCAAATATGAGGCACTAAGAAACTCAGTGAGATCCTGTCTCTAAATAAAATACAAAACAGGGCTGGGGATATGGCTCAGTGATCAAGTGAACCTGAGTTCAATCTCTAGTATCCCCTTCCCCCAAAAAAATCTCATCATCTCATCTGAAATGTGTGAAATTTATTTTCTACAGAATATCCTCCCACTTTCCTAACATGTATTAAGTTATAGTTTTTCTTCCATTTTATTTTTATCACATTTGTATTTCCTTCTTATGTGTGACTGTTTACTTCTGGTAAAAATGAGAGAGAGAGAAAGAGAAAGTTTTACTTGAACATTCAGAAAAGCTGACTTTGAAAATATGAGAATATTAGAATATGAGAAAAGACAACAATGAAGATTAAGAATGTAATGATGATTAAGTGGTAAGAGAAATCTTTGTTCAAGTCATTGGGTTATAGTCATCTTGAGTTAACAGAAACTCAGACTCTACAGATAGTATATATAAACTTATTCTATAAAATAATGCTAAGTTTACACAGTGAATTTTCCAAATAAATAAAATAAATTTTCTCCACTGACCTTGGAAATGGCTATTCCAGGGGCATTTATTTTCAAATAGCGGTGATAAATTAAGCTAAGTTTTCATTAAGTAATAGATACAAAGTGTACCACTTCATTTTATTGACAAACCAACTTCAAATAGGTTTGTCTGTCAACCATTGGGTCCACGAGACTGCCCTACACAATTTTTTAAAATTTATTTATTTATTTATTCTAATTTGTTACACATGACAGCAGAATGCATTTCAGTTCATAGTACACATATAGAGCACATTTTTTCATGTCTCTGGTACACAAAGTAGAGTCACATCATTCATACTTTCATACATGTACTTAGGGTAATGATGTCCGCCTCATTCCACTGTCTTTCTTATCCCTGCACTACACAATTTTTTAAAATATTTATTTATGTTTTTAGTTGTAGTTGGACACAACACCTCTATTTTGTTCATTTATTTTTATGTGGTGCTGAACCCAGGGCCCTGCATGTGCAAGGCGAGCACTTTACCGCTGAGCCATAACCCCAATCCCTACACTATACAATTTTTATTTTTATTTATTTTTTTTTTTTGAGAGAGAGAGAGAGAGAGAGAGAGAGAGAGAGAGAGAATTTTAATATTTACTTTTTTTAGTTTTCGGTGGACACAACATCTTTATTTGTATGTGGTGCTGCTGAGGTTCAAACCTGGGCCACATGCATGCCAGGCGAGCGCACTACCACTTGAGCCACATCCCCAGCCCGAACACTACACAATTAACACACAGTTAACAATTGATTTGGGGATAATCATGAACACTACAAATTGTGAAGTTTCACTTAGATATGATGTGTGCAGTAAACTGAACAAAAATATGTAGTGAAGTTATTAAGATAATTATCCACATTCTACACAGTATGGGATATTGTAAATGAGAATATTTTGTGTCCCTTTATGTTAAGTGTGGAGCAAGCATAAAATATAATCATAATCTTTACTGTCAAATCATAGGTTTATGCAAAGTACTTTCATTTTATTTTTCCCTTTTTTTAAAAATGGAACCAGGAATTGAACTCAGGGGCACTCTACCACTGAGCCACATCTCCAGCCCTATTTTATTTAGAGATAGGATTTCACTGAGTTGCTTAGTACACTGCCATTCCTGAAGCTGGCTGAAAATTGCAATCCTCCTGTCTTAGCCTCCCAAGCCCCTGGGATTACAGGCATGCATGCCACCGCACCTAGCTCAATATAGTTTTTATAGAGTAAGACAGTAGATCTTAAAGTCAAAAATAAAGAAATTTGAATCCAAAAAACATGTCTTTCTCATTCCCATAAAGGTACTAAAATCTTAGTTTTTATGTACTTCTGGAGGAAGGAAAGTTTCCAAATCAACCAAGGGTTGACACAGTTATTATTACAAAGGAAGCATCAGGGATGAATTTGGGAACATATAAAAGAAACAACATACTATATTTTTTAAATCAATAAATATTTAAAGAGTTGATGAATGTCTAATGCAACAAAAAGTGTACCGGTGTATTTCAAACAAACAATTATTCCAGTGAAACAGAACAGGTTAAAAGAAAGGATGATTCTTTTAATTGTGTCACTATTTTCCTAAAACAAGTAAATCAGTATTTTTTTTCCTTTACATTGAAGAGTTTGACTTTCAAAGAATTACTGCACATAATAAGATGAAAAATACTGAAAGGAATTTAAAATTATTAGTATCAATGCAATAGAAGCTTTACATTTAAACTAAACACAATTAACATAAAACATTTCCAAACTGAAAACAAGTTTACTTAGAAGCAAACATGTTATTAGATATTAATACTTTATAAAAATTGAACTTACTGGAATAGAGATTTTTTTCAAATTACAGTCCTTCTCCAGGAGTTCATATACATACTTCGTGATAATCTATGTAGGAAAGAAATAACACATTAAGATGCAATGTCATCCATTATCAAAATCGGTGTAAATTTTGGTAAATATTTGAAAGTTATTGCTCTAAATGAATATCTCTTCATTTCAGAATGTTTTGCTACCATATTAAGAGACTGGTTGCATATAATGGTTTATTTTCTGTGATTTTATTAATAACAATGAAACAGTACTAAGGATTAGGATCAGTTATTATAAAATTACAAAAACATAATACTATCTATTTTTGTAAAGGAATACTCTAAAAGTATATTCTATCAATGTTTCTAGAATCTGTTTCCCTTATACAGTCTATATAGGAATTATACTAATATAATTTCTTAGGAAGTCTGAACCTTAACATCTCTTTTGTATTTACTACATAAAGAGGAAAATACCACAGGTATTATAAATGGAAAAGAAAACTGATCCAGCAAAGTCAGATACCAGTTAATATTACATTTAAAGGAGAAAGAAACATGAACTCCTCAAAGCTATCCATGTACCAATTCCTGGAATTTGTGAATATGTTACATGGTAAATGGGCCTGCACATACAATAAAGGTTAAACACCCTAAAATGGAGATTATTCTTTATTATCTGAGAACCCAACATAATAAGCTGAGGCTGGCTCTGAACTTGCAATCCTCCTGCCTCAGTTTCCCAAGTCACTGGAATTATAGGCATAGCCTATATGCATGGCTTAAAAACCTTTTTTAACTGCTGAATCATGGCTTAGAAAGAAAGCATAAAGGAGTCTTTCAATGCCTTCCAGATAGCATAAGACTACAGTATGATTTTAGAAAAATAAAAATAAATAAATGAGTAAAAAGATAATTTCAAAAAGAGATGAAAATACATTTATCAGAATGGCATCTGTGTTCAAATAGCCACCAAAACTGTTCAAAGATGAAAAATAAAAGGGTAAACAGATCAATCACCCTCTAAAATTAAGAAACAGAGCAACTTCTAATTTCCATTCCAGTGTATAAAGAGATTGAACATATTTACTTCTGATTTAACAAAAAGAAAAAAGCTTAGCAAACTCCCAATCAACAAAATATCATGCTAAGTGAAATAAGCCAATCCCCAATAACCAAAGGCCAAATGTTTTCTCTGATATGTGGATGCTGATCCATAATGGGTGGGGGAGAAGGGAATAATGGAGAAACTTCGGATTGGACAGAGAGGAGTCTTAGATCCATGACTTTGAGTGTTAAGAGTAGATGAACTAAGCTAAAAGAAATACTCTAACATGCTGAAATATACCTATGAAATTCTATACCTCTTGCAAGCAAAGAAAATCTCAGAAATGATAATCAACACACTCCCTGAATTAGTAAAACATAAAATATAACATTGAAAAGAAAAAACTTTAAAACATCTAATTTTTTTTAAAAAAGTTAAACATTTGAAAAGTAACAATATCTAAAGAACCTTAGATTAATTGTTTGCTACCTAGTAGAAATCTAGTTCTAATTGATGGAATAAAATTAAATGACTGGTAATTAGTATAATGTACTCTGGGTTCTCTGCTTAAAATAATATGTGTATGCTGTTTACATTAGATTTTCAAAAACAGTTGAAAAGTTTTGTTTTGTATAAGCATCTTGTTTTTATATCACTCATTTATTTGCTTAGAAAGCCCAGATTTCACAAGCCAAAGAGTCAATATAGGCAATCTCATTTAATCACAAATGTATAAGAAAAATAAAACTTGATATAATGAGGTCCTATTATTTTGAAACTTTAATAATATTTTGGAGGAAGACTTTTGTTTTTAACAAAATGTGTAGTAATATTGAATATATTCTGTGTTATTCATTTTTTACTTTGCTTGTAGCATTTAAAATCCTACAGCTTTCAGGGAATCAGTATTATTTATTTCATTTCTAAAAAGACAAAATGTAATTGGTAAGAGATTCTAGATTTGGCCAATGCCTGTATTTAGAACAAGTTTATCCTTAAAGCAGGTGTTAGTAACATTCACATTTGTACCTTCAGGACCAGTTTATGGCTCAATAAAATCAGATTCTTATTATACCAGAAGGATAGTGTAGTATTTCTACAAATATTACACATTAAGTGGATGTAATCTACACAATGTTTTTAATTTTTTTTAAATTTTCATTCATTCTAATTAGTTATACATGAAAGCAGGAGTGCATTTCGATACAATGTACACAAATGGAACACAACTCGTCATTTCTCCGGTTGTATATGATGTGCAGTCACACAGTACATGCAATCATACATGTACCTAGGATAATGATGTCCATCTCATTCCAACATCTTTCCCACCTCCATGCTTCTTCCCTCCCCTCACTCCTCTCTGCCCAATCCAAAGTTTCTCCATTATTCCCTTCTCCCCCACCCATTATGGATCAGCATCCACATATCAGAGAAAACATTTGGCTTTTGGTTATTGGGCACTGGCTTATTTCACTTAGCATGATATTTTCCAACTTCATCCATTTACCAGCAAATGTCATAATTTTATTCTCTTTTAAGGCTGAGTAATATTCCATTTTATAATACTCCATTTTTTTAATCCATTCATCTGTTGAAGGGTATCTAGGTTGGTTCCATAGTTTAGCTATTGTGAATTGACCTGCTATAAACACTGATGTGGCTGCATCACTGTAGTATGTTGATTTTAGGTCCTTTGGATTTAGACTGAGGAATGGGATAGCTGGATCAAATGGTGGTTCCATTCCCAGTTTTCTAAGGAACCTCCATATTGCTTTCCACAGTGGTTGCACCAATTCACAGTCCCACCAGAATATATGAGTGTACCTTTTCCCCCACATCTTCACCAAAACTTATTATTTCTTACATAATGAATTTAAGAACACATGTTATTTTTCATTTTTAAACACAATAGAAAAATTTATAACAACTATAGCTTAACAAAAACAGCAATTATAGATGACCGAATATTAAATAATCACTGTCGGAAAACAACAATGAATGCATAATCAGTTTTACTTTCTACTTTACCCTGCTCTTATGTTTTAGATAATTATTTTATAAATCACATATAAGAATCTCTTTGTTTTGCTGATTTAATACATGCTGGCAAGCACCTCTAATTTATTGTAATTATTGAATTCAGATTTTATTTTTCATTTTATTTTGTACCTTCTATTTACCTTGCTTTTTCTATGCTTTGTTCTTTTCCTATCTTTTCTTTTTCTTCTATGCTTTTTCTATGCTTTGTTCTCTTCCTATCTTTTCTTTTTCTTCTATGGCCTTTCTAGAATGAATTATATATTCTAGTTATATTTCCCAGGTGACAGCCTTACAGTTTTACTATGACCATCTTGCACACAAATGCCTAACATTAATGTCTCTCTTCTCCTCTTGAATAAAGACTTTAAAGGAATCATTACTCCATCTTTTAAACTCATCTTACCTCTTCCATAGTATTTATTTATAGTGTATTTGTTTCATCTTATTTCTGTACATCTATTGGGTGATAAATACTGTGGATGTTTTATATAGGTCAGTCTATTTAGATTGTTTCAATGCTTATCAATTACTTTGCTCAGCATTCCTTCTTCATTGCATCTCATTTTCTCCCAATAGATCAGGTTTCTTCCTCATCAGTTCTTTAAGAAAAGGCAAATTGTCAGCCTTTGTCTAAAAATACATCTAACTGAACCAAATTTTGAATGATAATTTTGTTTGGGCATAAAATTGTAGATCCAGTTATTTTCTCTGGTGTCTTCCATTTTCCATGGTTATTAATACTTCTGCTATCAAGGTTGTTGAGATTATAGGTATTCAGGCTTCACTGTCTGGTTTCTTTCATTATCTTCCCTATAAACCTGAGGTGCTGCAGTCTAACAATGATTGGTTAGGCATACTTTGCATCTTCTGAGGACTCAATGTACTTCCTAAATCTTGGATCAATGCAAAACAATTCAAGAGAGTAATTCACTGCTTAAAAATCCCTTACTCACATTCTATTCTTCCAGGACTCCTATTATCATTCTTATTCTGCTATCCATGTTATAAGCTCTTATTCATATTTTCCATCCCTTTTTGTTGCTTAGGGCTACATATTGAGTAATTTTCTTATGTCTATGCTCTAGTAGTCTAATACTCCCTTCGATGGGTCTAATCATCTATTCAGATACCCTACTGCAATTTTAACTTTATTGACAATACTTTGACTTCTACACATTTGGTGTTACTTAAAATCACTATTTTCTTTTTAAAATTGTTTTAGCCTTTTTAAATATAGTACTGTTATAGCTTGGATCCTGAATATCTCCCTAAGGCCCATGTGTTAAAGGCTTGGTCCCTAGCCTGTGGTGGTTGATCCTTAAGGAGGTCATGACCTAGAAGGAGATACTAAAATCTGATCATTTTCTATCATTCTCCTTACTTCTTGGCTGTCATGAGGAACACAGACCTATTCTGACCCATATTCCCACCATGATATACTGCACTACCACAGATGCAAAAAACAGGGCCCAGTAACCATGAACAGATATCTTTGAAACTGTGAGCCCCAAATAAACTTTTCCTCCTCTAAATTGCTCTTTTATTTCTTCTAATTTGTTATATATGTCTAAATTGTTCTTGTCAGATGTTTTCATCACAGTGACAAAAGCTAACATAGAAACAAACCCAAATCACATACACTTGATATCATGCTTAGAGGATAGAGGATCACAGCTAAAGTACTTCTGTCAACAATGATAATGTGAATATAACCATGAGAAAACATCAGACAACTTCAAGTTGAAGGTTATCTACAAATGTTCTATACTCCTCAACAAAAGGTTAAGACCAAGAAAGATAAAGAGAGGATAAAGAATAGTTTCAGAAAAAAACAGACAAGACAACTAAATGAAATGTGTGAACGTGGAATTGATCCTGGACTTAACGAGAAACTAGTTTTTAGGTGTTATTATATAATTATCAACATTTAAAAATGAAAATTTCCTGGTTCTGATAATTATACCACAGTCATTAAGAGAATGTTC